TTTTGAAGTCTATTTTGTCTAAATATTACAACACCAGCTTTTTCTCATCCCTATTTGCATGATACATCTTTTTCCATCCCTTCAGTTTCGGTCTGTGAGTGTCCTTAAATTTGAAGTGAATCTCTTATAGGCAGCATATAGATGGGTCTAGTTTTTTTATCCATTCAGTCATCCCATGTTTTTTGTTTGGGGCATTTAGGTTATTTACATTTAAAGTAATTATCAAAATGTATGTACTTATTGCCATTTTGTTAAATGTTTTCTGGTTCGTTTTTGCTGTTCTGTTATTTTTTTCCTCTCTTTTCTTGTATTTTATGACTTTATTTAATGTTATGGTTAGGCTCCCTTCTTTCTTTTTTGTATATCTATTATAAGTTTTTGGTTTGTGGTTACCATGGGGTTCCTAAGTGATACCTTATTAATATAACAATTTATAATATGCTGATGGCTGCTCAAGTTCACGCACATTCCAACCGCAATACATTTCTTTCTCCCCCTCCTCCATGTTTTATGTATATAATATCTTCTTTTACACCTTTTTATTAAGTGATTCCCTTAACTAATTTTTAGATGTAATCCTTTTGCTACTTTTTTCTTTTTGACCTTCATACTAGCTTTTAAGTAATTCATTTACTACCTCTAATGTTTGCTTTACTAGTGAAAATTTTTCCCTTTATTAGATTTGCTTCTATTTAGGGTCTTTTCCTCTTAAAAAAGCCCCCTTTAACATTTCTTCTGAGGCTGGTTTAGTAGTGAACTCTTTATCTTATGTTTATCTGAAGGTATTTATCTCTCTTTCAACTCTAAATGATAAATAAAAAGAGTGTTCTTATTTGGAGGTTTTTTCCATTTAGCATTTGAATATATCATACCACTCCCTTCTTGTCTGTAGAATTTCTGGAGAAAAATCGTCTTTTCACTATGTGGTTTCCCTTATACGTAATTTGTTGCTCTTCTCTAGCTGCTTTTAAGATTCTCTATGTCCTTGATCTTTGACATTTTAGTTATGATGTGTCCTGATGTGGACTTCCTTGAGTTCATCTTGTTTGGGGCTCTTTGTGCTTCCTGGACCTGGCAGGCTGTTTCTTTCCCCAGGTTAGGGAAGTTGTCAGCTAGTTATCTCGTCAAATAAATTTTCCACTCCTTCCTAAATCTCTTCTCCTTCAGGGATTCCTATAATGCAGATGTTAGGGCATTTGATATTGTCCCACTTCTTTTAACTCTCTCTTTCTTCTGCTCTTTAGCTTTAGTGCTTCCCATTACTGTATCTTCCAAGTCACTAATCCATTCTCTTCATCCTCTAGTCTACTGTTCATTTCCTCCAGTGGATTTTTATTTCATCTGTTGAATTCTTCATCTCTGATTGGTTCTTTTTTAGGCTTTCTATCTCTTTGCTGAGGTTCACTTTGAGTTCTGCTATTGTTTTCTCAAGCCCAGTGAGTATCTTTGTAACCATTGTTTTAAATTCTTTATCAGGTAGATTGGTTAATTCTGTTTCATTTAGGTTTTTTCTGTTTTTTTTTTTCTCTTGTTTTGTCATTTTGGAGCGTATTCCTCTGTCTCCTCACTTTGTAGGACTTTGTGTGTCAGGTCCTATGAGTTAGTTGAAAATGCTCACTCTTCCAGTCTTGAAGGATTGGCCTTTTGTAGGAGGGTCCCCCTGTGCAGACTGTGTGTGCTTCATGGTTTCAGCAAGCTGAAGGCTGATTAAGTGTGAGACATGCTTTTCCTGGTGCTGGAACTCCCAGGGCATGGTCCTGTGGGTGTGGCCTTGGGGGCTCACTGGAGGGGATCCTGGGTGGACACCTGTGGGCTCTGCACTGGCAGGGAGAGGGTGGTGAGCCAGTAGCTGGCCAGGGTGTACACTGCAGGTAACTCCTAGATTGGTGCCAGGTGATTCACATGTGCCTCCTTACCCACATGCTGATGCTTGTTCTGGGCTGCTCAGGACGGCTCCAGAGAATTCCTGCATTGGGTGCCCACTGGCTCCTGCAGGTGGCATGGAGTCAGGCTCTGGGCATGTTCCCCCTTGGCCCCTGTGTACTCTGGGCTGCTGTGGAGAATTCCTAAGTTGCTACCCATGAATTCTGCCAGTGGCCATAATCAGACACCTCGCATATGCACATTCCCCATCAGGCCCTGTGTGCTCTGGGCTGCTCTGGGAAATTACCAGGTCAGTGCCTATTGGTTCTGCTGGGGGTTGGGTTCTGAAATGGGCATGCATATTCCCCCGTGGTCCCTGTGTGTTCTGGGCTGCTCCGGAGAATTCCCACCCACTGGGTCCCACAGGTGACCAGCGTTCAGTCCCTCACGCATGTTTCCCCAGAGTGCTCTGGGGAGTTGACTTGCATGTTGCTGGTTAGTTCTTCAGATCCGGGGTTGACTCCCAACAGTTTCCTTGCCAAGTAGTGGATATTTAGTTCTATAACTCTGCTTTCATTCACTATGGGCTAGGTACACTTTAAACCGTAAGGCTTTTTTCCTGTGTCTCAGGCCAGCGAGTCCACGCCTGACTCTCACAGCAATATACCTCCCTTTCCCCTTTGCTGGTCACTGTGCTGGGAGCGTTGTGCCCGTGATTCTCATGGTTACCATGTCTCTGTCTCTCCTGGTGTTTGCGGGTAACTTTTAGTGAACTTTAAGCCTCTTGTTGTATAGAAGGTGTTCACTTTGGACTCCGTTCTCTTTAGGATGAATGCTCTATGTGTAGGTGTAGTAGATTCAGTGTGTAAGTGACAGAAAGTGGATTCAGGGTCTCTCCACCATCTTCCTAGAATCTCCTGGAATTACTGGTTTTTATACTTTCAATGTAGAAGTTAATGCAGAAAACTAAAAACAGTTATGTGAAACAATAATTTCTTGCATATTATATTTTCATTGATTGAAGCTAAGGTGACCCAGATTGACTATATTAAACCAGAACAAACAGTCCCAAATCAGTTTGGCTAACACGTTAGAAGTAATTTGGGAGCCTTCTTTAGCACTACTCAGACTATGGTAAGTCATTCTGGTTCTGACTTTAACTGGCTAGCCCATGTATCCACTGTGCATGAGTAATGACTTAGTATCTGTCCCATATGACACCATTTAGCTATTGTTCACAAATATCTGTTTTTACCATCAGGGTCAAATAAAGGGTTTAGCAATTTCATTTATCATGGCCAATTACTACTTTAAATGTCCTTCTGTGAATGCTGGACCCTGTCTTTTAGATGTGCACATTTTCTAAATAGTGCACAATTCTGATTGACAGAACAGTAGCTGCTGATACTTACTGAGTACTATAGTGCTTTATAAGATTGGTACCATTTTAGTGTTCAGATGGAAACACTGAGGCTTAGTGGAGAAATTTGCTGCAGTTTGCACAACCAGCAAGGGCAGAGGAACTTCCAAATCAAGATCTGATTTCAATCACTGGGTTTTAGCCACTACACAATTTTGCCTTAGGGTACATGTCAGGACATGGCCACTGTTTTCTGTCACATGTCCCACTGTCTACAACTCCAGGGAAGATTGTAGGTTTCTTACCTGTACTAAGCACCACTAGTAAAATTTCTCTATGATAGTATTTTTATGACTACTTTGCTCCAGAAATAATAGGAGGGGCCCAACTATTTAGCTTGAATTCTGTCTCTACATCTTGACCAAGGGGCATTTTGGCTAGAGGAGAGAATTTATTCAGAAAATTATTACCAATACAGCAATCCAAATTAAAAAATTTGAATTATAGTAGAAAATTTTAGTAACAAAATTAAAATACAAATATTTAGTAGAAGAAAATGACCGGTCTCCATATACTCTAAGGAAATTACTTCCTGTGATGATGTGAATGTTTATGGTAAAATCAAAGGGGAGTAAAGAAGTTGTGTGGAGGAAGGCAGATAAAATTATTTCGAATCATAATATCACATAGTATGTAATTTAAGCTCTTTAAAATAGGGAGATTAGCCTGATTTATTTAAATGGGCCAAATCTAAATCACATGAGCCTCTAAAAGTGAACACCTTTCTTCTGATGGCAGCAGAAAGCCAGAGGTCTCAAACATGAGAAAGCTTCTATGTGCAGTTGTTGGCTTGGAAATGAAGGGGCCACATGTCAAGGAAGAGGGACCTCAGTTCTCTAGCCACAAGGAACTGGAATCTGCCAATAATCTGAATGAGGCTGAAAGCAGAATTCTCCTTAGAGCCTCCAGAAAAGAGCCCAGCCCAGCCCTTGATTCATCTTCTGAAGCCCTGAACAGAGAATTCAATTGAGTCATACAGTGCCTGGATTTCTGGCCCACAGAACTGGAAGCCAATAAATGGGTTTTGCTTTGAGTTGTGAAGTCTGTGATAATTTATTATGGCAGCAATAGAAAACGAATATAATAGATAGTCATTTTTTCTCATATGACCCCTGTAGGAATTTTTCAAAAGAAAAATATTGCTTATTCTGAACAGTGAGTGATACTTGAGAATATTTATCATGCCAGGTAATTAGGTGTTTGATAAGGTACAAAGGGGTATAAGGCAGAGTTATTTGTTAATTGTTAATTACATGAACAACCAATACTATTGAAAAATCAGTCTTTCCAATACAAAGTCAGTCCCTTTCAGGGATACTTGGTTAGCCCTAGTTTAAATCAAGAAGCCTATATGGTTTTTTCTCAGGATCCCACTTTAATGGGAAAATCCAGTCTATATAGACACCAGAGAATTAGATTATCTTCTTCAGGTCTGGTCACTAAATAAATGGTGTATATCAATAATTACAATAAAACATTTATTTTGCAAGGTAAACTGGATTTAATCTATGGGTTTGTTCAAGGACACTAGATCCATGCTTCTTATATGTAACAACATTTCATGGTATTATGAGTTACTTATAATAAGGGGAACTAGTGAGGAGTATGTTGGGGGAAAATGTAGATATTGAGCTCAAAATTGAGCATGAATTTTCAATTTAGGAAATCAAATCAGAGATGTAGGGAATTTTATTTCTCTTCTCCCTTTGTGTTACAGATTAATCTTAAAGACATTGGTGAAATCTATAAAATATGTATTGGACATGACAACAGTGGAAAAAATCCCAGATGGTATCTGGAAGAAATTAGACTTGAAAATATAGGGACCTGTGAACTATTTTGTCTAACTATTGATTCCTGGATACCTGAGAATGGAAGTGATGGAGATGTATGGAAAGAAATGCCTATTGTGAGAACTAACAAAGCAACTTTGCTGGGTATATAACTTCATTTCCTTTGTGATATGTATTAAGAATTAAAATCATTGAAATGATTTCAAACAGAGATCAGCAATACCTTTCTGTAAAGGGCCACTCAGTATCTTATGCTTCCTGGGCCATAAAGTCTCTTAAAACTCAACTTTGCCAGTGTCTTGAGACATCTGCTCTAGATATTATGTAAACTGATGGCATGACTGTGTTCCAAATAAAATGAAAACAGATTTGAAAAATATATGCACCCCCATGTTCATTGTAGCATTATTTATAGTGGCCAACTTATAGAAACAACCTAATTTTCCATCAATAGATGAATGTATGAAGAAGACAAGAAGATGTCTCACACACACACACACACACACACACACACACACACACACACACACAGGAATATTACTCAGCCATGAAAAGGAATGAAATCTTGCAATTTGCAAAAACATGGGTAGACCTAGTGTGTTTTATGCTAAATGAAGTGAATCAAACAGAGAAAGACAACTGCCATGTGATTTTATTTACATGTGGAGTCTAAAAAACAAAACTAATGAACAAACAGACAAAGCAGAAATAGTCATAAACACTGATTTGTGGTTGCCATAGTGGAGGAGGCAGGGGATGAATGAAATAGGTAAAGGGGATAAAGAGGTAAAAACTTCAAATTATAAAACAAATTAGTCATGGGGATGAATTAGTAACAGCATAGGGAATGTATCTAATAATTTTATAATATCTTTGTATGTTGACAGATGGTAATTACACTTACTATGATGAGCATTTAATAATGTATAAAATCATCAAGTCGCTATGTTGTACACCTGTAACCAGTATAATATAGTATATCAACTATATTTCAACTAAAAAAAATGATGTATAAAAGAAATTTGAAATCCATTGCACCAATAGGAAACAGAAGAACTCTTATTGGCCTGCTATATTAGTTATTTTTCAATTTATAGTGTTTTTAAAAGCTGCATTATTTCAAAATGAACTGTTTAAACTCTGCTAGACAACTGTTTTGTATTTCTTCCATATGTCTCCTATTTGACATATGCATAGTTTGCTACACGCAGAAAAAAGTGTGAAAGGCAGTTGTATGGGTTTTAAAACAATCCAAGATACAAAAGAGTCTCTATTGTACTTTAAATGAACTATTGATTTTGGGCTCATTTAACTTGAGCAGCAATAAATGCTCAGCATGTCTCCCCTGCATCTTTCTGCTCATCCTTTTCCCACACTGGCTAATGAAACTTTATCCATTAGCATTTCCCATTTAAAGGAGAAATTTCTTAGTGAAACACCCCAACCACTTCTTAGAGCATTTCTCCTATACTACAAAATAGTGTAATGTAATACATGATACCTAATCTGATTTAATCTTCTCATTTTTCTCTAGTTCTGACAGATTAATCCAGCCGCCCCTTTCCCAGACTGAATATTTGCTTATTTAGGGAAAAATCATTAAAACAAGAAAATGAAAAAATAATGATACCTCAGTGTTCAGGAATTAACTAGGGATTAAAATCTACTGGTGAGCAAAGAGCAGTCTGGGCATGCTGAGTACTGCTTTGGGAAGCTGTTCTTGGTGCCACCGAGAGCTTCATTTACTATTCCTATGACATCAAGGGAAGCCACGGCAGAATCAAACCACTGAATTGATGCTTCTCTGGTTTGGGTTTTAAAGGAGGAGTAAGGAGGGTTTGACCTTCAGTATTTGGGGATTTTCTCTTATCTTTCAAAACATTCTGAAGCCTATCCAGGGAAAAACACAGAAAAAAAGAAAAAAAATTTTTTAATGATGCTCTTAATACTTAGGCTTGCCAGGCTGGATAGAGTCCTAGGGACACACTTGAAGGTTATATATATATATTTTAATTTAGCACAAAAAGAGTGCTTTTCCTTTCAATTGGCACTTACATTCTGAGCCAATTAATTTTGTGACTTTGCCTCTTTTCAAAAGATTACTGGAATGTTTTCAAAAGAAGTGGGTTTTCGAAAGGATCAGTCTATAAATCATCCCTCTTTGGGGGCTGAGCACAATTGTTGGAGGCATCATCAGAGCAGTCCCTTCCTGGAGACTAGTGCCGCCAGGCTCCCGTTTGTTCCCTGTCTACTTCAGCCGTGGGCAAAGGCTCCAGGAGCTGCTGAGTGCCCTCGCTTTGCTGTCCTCAGGAGTCCTTAGTGGACTGCCTGGAGGGATTCCTTGGGGGGCTAAGAATGCCGCTTCACTCACAGTGGCCTGGCTCCAGGTTTTCTTCAGAAGTGATGGGTGGTAATGGGAGGTGAGGTTTGGGGCCCCATGTCAGGGTGAAGAAGTGTTTGGTGCTAGGTCTAGCACACAGGAGGTGAGCTTGGTGGCTTACTCCAAGTCAGGAAACCACTCTCTGAGAATGTAAGAAGTACCAACATAATAGAAATGTATCTGCTCCAGAATATTTTTATTTATGAGCCTTTAAGGAGTGAGAAAATAAGTGTCTTTCTGAACACTTGCAACCTCCAGCAAGTTTCGGATGATAACAGCTGAACTGTAAGTTTAAAAAAAAGCTACCTTTCTTGAATGCTTTGGCCATTACTATAATATCCATGTTTCAGGGGAAAATGTGGGCTGCGGAGTGAGATGGGCCCTTTTATTGATGAGACAACTGAAGCTCAGTGAAGCAGAGTCTGGCTTCAAACCCTGGTCTCAGTCACTGAGTTTGTGAATTGGGGTAAGTTACACAGGTTTTCTTGGTCTCAGGTAGTTTGTCTATGAAATGGGATGCATATACCTATTATTAGAGTTATCACTATATAACTCATCATCCAAACAAGGACATTTTTGAGAGAAGAAATGCTCACTTAATCAGTACAAGAACAACTGGAGTCAGTTGGGATTTCCATCAGGGTATGTGAGAGAGTGTTAATGCAGTGTTTGTCATGGGGGAGGTGCTCAACACACCCTAAATTAATTTCTTCACCCTCTGCCTTTGACTTGTTTTCCATCTTACTGCCTTCACAGCTGGCATCACAAAGGGAGGGCAAGCATAAAGAACCTCTCAGGATCTGGACAGGCTATTCTCAAGCCCACAGCAGGAGTGGTCTTCTCAAAATCCCAATTGGATTATGTCACCCCTTGCTTAAAATTGTCCAAAAGTTTCCCAACTTGTTAAGAGTAAAAGCTAAAGTCATCACAACTTCCTTCAGGGCCTCTCACCCTCCCCCATCTCCAGCCTTGGCACCTCTGAAGGCACCATGCAAACTGTCCCTTCAGCCCTCAGGCCTCTGCCCTTCCACCCATCTGCTATCCTGTGTCTTCCTCTGGCCTCTGCATGACCAGCTTCTTCACCTATGGTCAGGTCTCTGGTCAAGGGGCCTTCTCAGTGAGGTGTTCCTGGTGACCTTCTATAAAATGGCAAGAAATTCCACTTCTTTCCTCACACCAGCTCAAAGGTAATTATTTGTTAACAATAAGATAAATATTTTCATTCAAGCTGTACATGAAGATTCAGCCCCAAAACCAACATGTACAGTCTCGGACTGCAAACCTTCAGTGCAGAGGGAAATGTCTGCACATGTGTAACACTGAATCTCATTTGCCATCTGTTTCAGAGATGTGTATCAACACGATCACACCAGATGAGTGCTGAGAAAGCTGCATTCTTGGTGACCCGAGAGAAAGCACTAAAATATTCTCTTAACTAACTCAAATTACAGATTCGCCAAGGCATCTGGCCTGGGGAAGTCCTGTTGTGCTGGCTGCAGAGCTCCCCAGATACGAGTGCCCCTGCTCATTCCCTGGAGGCTCAGCAGCGTTGCAGAGAGGAGAGCATGGAGAGGAGCTGGCTCACAAGAGATGGGCTCCATAAGACTTGGCAGGCAGTCACTCAACATTACCCAGGAGCATTTGAGCATAATGAGTAAAACATGACACTACGGAAGTCCCCTAAACAGAAACAATTCATTTCATTTTTCTGATTAGGAAAGTATTCAGAATAAACAGAAACTTACATTCATTAAAAATATTGTGTGTGTACTTTGACAGGGTAGAGAGCACAAATGCAAAGTTCATGGCCTTCTAGCCTTTTCCTTAGACTCTGTGACCAATTGTTTATGGCATCCAAGGTTGGTAGGACCTAAAATGTCTTGAGAATTGTCTCCCAGAATGAAGGAAAGGGCACTGAGGGATCCTGGCACCGGGGTCATTTTCCAGCTGGACAGTTGGGAGACTGGCTGGCCCAAAGACCCTTTGGAACTACGATCCCTAAATTGGGTGTTAAATGTTTGGAAAAGCCTGGGTGGAAAATCTTCCAGTTAGAGCCCTACTTAAGGTTTAAAGTCTCATGAGTTTCACTGGAATACTGATGTGTTTGCCCCAACTCAGGGCATGGAGTCATGGAGTCATAAGTGTGTGTGTGTGTGTGTGTGTGTGTGTGTGTGTGTGTGTGTGTCCTCATACATACATGTGCACAGAGGTGGTTCTCTCTAGGGTAAGTCCCATGCTCACTCCCCAGTGAAAATTCAAATAATGTACCCTGGGAAGAGAATGGAAGTGTGCAACATTAGGGATACAGCTGGAAAAATGATATTTTTATGTGACTTAATTGTTTATTCAATAAATGGAGAACTTTTTTTGCAGCAGACTGAGAATTCTTGGATGGTTTGGATCAAAAGAGGGTAGCACCTCTGGGCCATGCTGCATAAAAAAGATGAGGCATTTAAAATTAGGTCCCTTAGGAAGGGCATCTAGCTCATGTCTGGTATGAAGGGTTTAACAGCGCTAGTTCCCACCACCTTCCCTTCCTCAGTCACTCCCTGGCCTGGTGAACAGTGCTCTCCTTAGGGAGGATGAGGATCTATTGGCAGATCCAAGACCAGGAGGCAGAGCCAAAGGGCCAGGAGCCAGGTGGATGCTGAGATAAACTGAGGGAAGAGAGCAAAGCTGGGAGCAAAATGAGCCTGGGAAGGTAGCCTGGGCTTATGGCACAGTTCTGGGTTATGAGTGGCCACATTTTATGATTCATACCTGACTGGTTCTTTGGATGACTAGCAGACAGAAGTATGCAACATTTGTTGATGGATGGATGAATAGGCATTCATTTATTCAATATTATTCAGTGAACATGTACATATACTAGGAGCTGGGGTTCAAGACTGAAGAAGACATGAGAGGATGTATGACACATGACGCTTTGGAAAGGGAGACCATGCTGCCCATACATGGGCTCCTAGGGAGTGTGCTCTGCA